CCAACAAATTTGAAAGAAAGCTTGCTGCCATTGGCAAGGATTCCACGGAGCTCGCATACGTAGAGAATCAATTGCATGCCGCTGATGCGCAGTGTACGACCACAACTTAAAAGAACATTGGATTCGGCAGTTTGGATGAGAAGAGGAATATGATACAGCGCTAGGCGTAATATTGTTAATCAGAAACTGTACAGACTGGTGAGCGCTTGCATTACGATGTAGATCTCATTTTTCCATGAGTAATGTTACTAGTTGTGATTGTTTATTAATACAGGCTTATCTTCGATGTTAGAATAAGGCCTTGGCTTTCGACAAAAACCAAGCATTGCAAGATCTGCGCATATAAATCTGCAGTTGGAGTTGAATTAAGGGTATTGGTCAAGTTAAATTAGAATGTGCGATATCAGGTGCGTATTTATTGCATGGAGCGATGGGTTAAAATATAGGAGGTAGAGCGAAGCGTTTTTTATCGAACGACATTGGTGATGTTACGTACGGTTGCTTCTCCGCGTGACGAATTCATGTTCTGCCGTCATCGTCACGCCAGGGAGATGCGAGCGTGTCAGGTGAAGAGGACTACCGCGGCCGTCGAGATGGACGAGCATCACCACACGAGGGGGGCGCAGCTGTCCGCCGCCTTCTCCCCGGGCGGACGGGGTGCTGACACGAGATGCGGGAGGGGCTCCGCGACAGCAAGGGCAGAGGCGACCGCCCGCCGCTTCGACGCCTCGCTGTGCGAACTCGTTGCCAGAAGCGCGAACCAGAGCGACTTCAGCCGATCGCACGCCAGCGCTCGCTGGAGGTGTCTGGAGGGCCGACGCTCGACGAACAGCCCTCGAGCTTGGTTCGAAAGGGACGGTCCGGGTGGGAGAACGCTCTATTTTTTGTGACGGCCGAGAGGACCGCCGTCGCTGCTAGGCGCGCTCCCGGCGCCCTCTCGCTGGCAGCTGTGAGCGGCGCAGCGGGAGGAGGGAGAAATTTCGATGGACTGCGGACGTTAGCGCCCGCAGCAGCGGTGGGGCGGGTAGGAAGTTGAGGAGGAGCTCTTATCTGCCGCGCGACGCGGGGATGTCGGCAGGCGATGGAGGCTGTGCGCGCGCGCGGCCCGCGGCGAGCTGGAGCCGGGGGACGACGCAGCGGGCTGCAACTTGGAGCCTGTGCGCGCGAGTGCGGAGACGGAGAACGCGCTGCCGAGACGCGGCGGTCTGCGGTGGGTTGCCGCCGCGCGATGAGCGGGGAGAGGGCTCGCCGCGCTGTGTTAGTGGGAAGCAGGGCCGAAGCTTGGGAGGACGCCGCTCGCTGATTGAGGGCCACTTCGCAGGTAGATGCGCACGTCGGGAGGCTGCCGCTCTGCGTTGACGGAAGTCGAGGAGAACGGTGGTGGGCGGGCGGGTGGGGAGGCGCTCCCGGAGCGTGTTGAACGCTGAGGTGCGAGGAATAGCCGGCGCAGCGGCAGCAGGAGGCTAGCAAGGTGAGGGAGGGGAGAAGGGAGGAGGGAGGAGGTGGAAGAGGAGAGGAACAGGTTGGGGGAAGGGAGGAGGGAGGAGAAAGGTGGGGGGAAATGGAAGAGGAGAGGAGAAAGGTGGGGGGAGCTGGAAGAGGAGAGGAGAAAGGTGGGGGGAGGTGGAAGAGGAGAGGATAAAGGAGGGGGGAGGTGGAAGAGGAGAGGAACAGGTGGGTATGAGAAGCTGGGGTAGTTGCTATTTAGTTTAATCATTGCTCAGTTAATCAAAGCCGGAAATAAAAGAACATCAATCATCCGTCAATCGATCTTCGTCAAAAAACGTTACTAAACGTTAATTAAACTCATTAATTTCTAGTCACTAGTCATTATCGGTCGTCTCATAAGGGGCCAGCCTCGTACGTTTCCAGTCTAATAAGTATCAAACTAAAAACTAAAATCTAACACCTAACGTTGATCGCATCCGCTTACAGGCGCTTCAGCAGGAGCTGCAAGAGCACAAGCCGCTCGTGGACAAGCTCAACAAGACCGCGGGGGCGCTGCAGAAGCTGACGGGCGAGAACGAGGGCGCTCAGATAGCCGAGCTCGTCGACAGCGACAACGCTCGCTACGAAGCGCTGCGAGGGGGCGTCCGCGATCGCGCGCACATGCTAGACATGGCCCTGCAGGAATCGTCACAGGTACGTGCTGATGCAACCGCCGCCGCGTCTCACTCCTCTGTCTCTGTCTCACGCGTGCTCGTAGGCAAGCGCGTAGCCTGGGGGAGGTCCTGGGGGCCCTAGGACCCCCCAATCAAAATCAAAATAAATAAAAAAATCCTTTTTCTCTTAAAAGCGCGTAGCTGGCCTAATCCTGGCCTCGTTAAAAAAATTCACGTTAAAAAATTGGCGTAGTTAGGGGGTCCAAAGGGGGCCATGGCCCCCTT